GTTTTCAAGATACAAGAGCATTTTCTGCTTCTATTTTTCTTTCCCCAGTTGCTTTTATGACCACTCCTTGTTTTGAGGTGGTGTTTTCTTAGATCTCTAAAACTGAGGGCTCATTCCTTTCATACTAACTCAGTGCTTATTTCTGCACTGGGAAATGGAAATATTTAAAATTATTGTTCTATATGCATCTGTTGATTTGTACTGAATTTCAACTGTCTTTTACTGCCCAGGAACTCAGTGTTCAGGCCTGGTTTTTAATATCAGGATGAATCAATATTTGTAACCCCACTGTTCATCATCTTTTCCAAGGCATTAGTTTTCTGTTAATTAGGACAAATATGGCATTGCTCCACAGTAAACTTTTAAAAGTACAATCTGGTCACACGAATGGTTTCCTCCTGTGCATTGTTTATTGACTTATCTAAGGATTGGAATAGATAGGAGTCATATCTCTCAAATGAAAGCAGTGTTTAACTCCCTGTAAAATAACACTTGCTATTGTACTCACTGCTTTTTCCTAAGTTCTTGCCATTTAGCTTATGGGCTAAAACAAAGGGGACTTACAGGATTGCAGCGGTAATTCTGTCCAGAAAACAATTTGTTCCTCCTCTTGAGTTACTGATACTACCAGGAGAACTCTGTTATGCAAGCTAAGAACATGTCATTTTCAAGAATTTTGAGCACACACACAACATACTTCTGGTCACTGTTGGCCAAATTAATTTTGAAATGTAAACAAGATAACATAGAAAATAGTAGTCCATCCCAATGATATTCAAGTAAGATTGCTCAGCTGCAGAATGAGGTTAAGTTTTTTAAGGGGGGAAAGTTGCACAGAGCTATGAAGGGGAAAAAAGGTAACAAAATAACTTTGGAGTTTGTTTGCTACCAAGAGGAATAATGTCCAAGGCTAAAGCCCTGATTTCTCCCTCAGAAAAATCTGGGTTTGCACAGACCTGGGGCTTTCAGGCTTGAGCATCTGCAGCTGTGATGTTTAAACAGAAAAATCCCAGACTGAACCTTCCATTCCCATCAGCAGTAGGTAGAGGGAGTAGTGCAAAGGTTAGCACAGCCTGCAGCTGAGGGGACTGCTCAGCCTGGTGTTCCTCCTGCAGGGTTTAAGGAGATGGAGTAAAGGACAAAGTCATGTATTCACACCATTTACCTGCTAATGTCTTCTTTTGACCTCTGTCCTCTATTGCTTCTTCACTTTCAGCACCGTCTTTGTGTTATATCTTGCTGAGTAATTTTTTATATAATACTTCCTCTGATTTTTCTGGGAGTGAGGGGGAAGGTGTCTTTTTCTAGAAATCTCAAATCCTCTATGAACATTCTGTAGTCTTAGAATATGACAACTTTGAATAAATAAATGTCAAAGTGGATAGAAATAATTTACTTTCATGAGGAAAAGCTCAGTGGTACAAAGCAGCTTTTGACATTATGAAGTTCTGTTCCTCATTTTTTGCATAACTCAAAGCATTACCTAAGTCTGTACCATTTCAGAAATCTTGCTACAAAGATTTTCTTTCTCACTCCCTAATGCTCTGTTGATCAAGCAGTATTAAGTTCTTCTTCTCCAGCTAAAATCCCCTGTAGCTTTAGATCAGGCTTTTTAAAGAAGTTTATGTTACTGCAATTGTGTTATGTTAACTGGATTCCTTGGGGGCAGAATTAGAAAGGAAGCTAGAGGTACCAAAAGGTGGCCAGTCACAACATAGCAGTGCTTTAATTTTGGTTTCAAAGGCTTTGTGTAAAGGAAAAAAATCATTTGGAATCTTGTAGAGAGAGGGTTTGGTGTTCTCAGACTCCCAGGTCACATGAGGGGCAATCTCAGCTTTAGACATTAAAATGCTTGGGAAGGTTTTTCTTCCTTCAGGCACTCTGGTGAGCACCCCTTGCCAGCTCTTGGTTTGGGTTTTTTTCCCAGCTATAATAAGTGTGACAGCCAGAAGTGTTATCTGATTGGCAAGTATATCTTACCCTTATTTTCTTTTGAAAAATACATGTAATTCTTGCTTATTGGAATTTTCACTGTAATGAAAAAAGCAAGAGGAGCATGACATGATTTGTCAAAGTTGGAGCCACTGAGCAGAGTTGATAACTGACTCAGCAGATCTGGCTTGAAAAAATTTGAGTGAATGCTTTGGTTTTGGCGCACAGATTTTATTTTTAAACATTTACTTGAGTTTTGTCTTTTCAGCCCTGCTGCTTTGCCTAATAAGAAATGAGTTCAGTGCAGAAGAATATCCTTACTTACCTGTGTGACACATATATACATATGTATGTATATATATATATATATATAACATATAACTGTATGTGTCCTCTGGGAGAACAGACATCTCAGAGTTCATTTGGATCAAGACACAGATGCCAATGGGCTCATGGTTAGGCAATGTTGTGAATTCTGACAGGTGGCATTGTGGGGGCTCTTCCTGTGTAGAGCACATCCTGGTGCAGTGTGGGATCCCTCTGGAAAGCAGCAGAGGCAGGAGGCTGTGAACAGCTGAGCACAGTTTGTGGCAGCTGGGTCAGAGAGCTGGATTTTTGGGCAATAGATCATTTCAGGATGCAGGAGGATGGGATAAAGGGCCTTGACTACATCTTCCTTCTTAGGATAGAAAAAAGCTGCAGATAGTCACAAGGTTTTGTCCATTTCCCATATGTCCAATTCATCTGAGGTCAGATTCAACTCTTACCTCCTTGGAACAGGAAATCCATGGCTTCCTGCTCTGCAGAGCACCGAGAGCGCTGCCTGTCAGCTCTCGTTAGGCAGAAAAGGCTAAGAATGCAATTAGCCTGCTGGATAAAAGGCAGGGAAAAGTCTCTTAACTATGAAAAATCAACACTTGAGGAAGCAAACCACATGTGGAGAACAAATGCTGGAAAAAGCCCCAACTGTTTGGAACAAATGCCTTTATTACTTAAATAAACAGCAGTGTAATTTGTTGGAGTGACAGTGTGAGCTGTTCTGTACCCTGTATCTCTAAGAAGAATTTGTTGCTAACTTGAAAGCAGATGGCTTTGTATGGCCCAGGGTGGGTTTTCTGGGAAATGTTAGTTATATGCTGTGATACAGGAACAGAAACATCCTAATAATGCTGCAGCAGGCTAAAAGGAACATGGATAATATAAAACAAGTTCAAAATATGCTGTGTCTGTATCCCATATTTCAGGTAGATTAAAAGCAGTCATGGATCTTTAATTTTTTTTTAACTGTATGTGTCCTCTGGGAGAACAGACATCTCAGAGTTCATTTGGATCAAGACACAGATGCCAATAGGCTCATGGTTAGGCAATGTTGTGAATTCTTAGGTTTGAAAAATACTTCCTGCTTTGGAGACAAAGCCCCCTTTTATTCCTTGTGCTTTGATTATTCATTTTTTGAAGCAAAATGACTGCAAGTTACTTAGAAGAATTTTAATGATTTTTTTTTTTCTCTCCTTTCATATAAAGGCACAATACCAGCACATAGCAGTGAGCACTTCAGGAATGTCAGTATTTCTGTAGAGTCTTAATCAAATAAATAAAGGTGAGAATAAAGAACATTTTGTTACCTTTTAAGATATAACTAAAACCTCCAGAATGCCTGGTGGCTCACTCCAGGCAGATCACAAGTGAGCTGATGCCTGGAGAACCACTGAACCACTGTTCTTGGAGCTCATGCTTCAGTAGATCTGCTCATACCTTTTGATCTGTGCCATATTTTGTTGTTTGACTTTATCATATCACAACTGTGATTGCTGTGTTTGTTATTTGAGTTTATCATATCACAACTAAGTTTAGCCTGTTTAGGGCAGTGACAGTAGCTGAGCAGGTATATGGAATACACTGCAGAGTGCAGCTTGGCCCTGGACAATGCTAAAGTCTGCAAGAGTTTCTGTGAAATCTGAGAGCTCAAGGTTGCCAAGTCTGTCCTTGACCAGCACAGGGGCTTTTTACTGCTGGGCAGTGCAGGAGGTTGTGTCCTGCACAGGGTGCTCTGTGCCAGCCTCATGGCAAAGCACTCTTGTGGCACACCCTGCCTGTCACAGCAGCTGTTTGCTCAAGGACCTGGTTCTCTGCCATCTCTGTGGTCTGAAGAAATAATCATACCAAAGTTTAAACTGAGTCTTCGGCTTCGGTTTTTAAACCTGGAAATGTTTCTTCACACAGGCTGCAGCCACCACTCGGGAACATGCAAGAGCATGAAGACTCAAGTTTGACTGGAAATGTCTCCCTCAGCTCATTCTGTGCTGTGAGTGTTGCATGGAAATTCTTTGTTCTGAAAGCTCCAGAAAGCTGCAGTGAACAAAACCAGTGGCTTCTGAGTCCATGTGCCATGGCAGGGCATAGCCTTTGGCTTAGTGGTGTCTCAGAACAGTTTTACACAGATTTGACTCCAGCTCTGGTTTTCCTGAGAATTTGTGTGGATGATGGAAATGCAGCACTGGGCCTGGAGAAGGGAGATTGTGAGTCTGGGGTATGTTGATGTAGGAGAGTAAGATGTGGAAGAAGTGAAAACTTGGAGGAAAAAAAAGCCAGTACAAATAATTTGTAGCACAGTGTGAGGGTGCATTACCTTTGCACATGGGAAATCTTGTGTCTGACTCTTGTGTGCCTCTGTTTCCCCACTAAAGGAGGCACAATGCCCCTCTTTTTATAATGCCCTTTACTTCCTCTAGATGCTACCTGACAACAAATTACTGTACTTCTACATCAAAAATACAGATAAAAATGCACTTTTGGGGAAGGTTGAATGCTGGTCACTTCCTCTCCCTTGTGGGCTGCTCTGGCCTCCATAGTGAGTGAGGTAATCCCCCTACTCCTCCTCCCTGAAAAAAATGTGCACATTTTGTTTTATGGACTCTGGATATTGTAATACAGAAAGGGGAGCAGGCAAATGTGTCCTGGATCTCTGAGTCACCAGGAAAAAGCAGCCAACTTTGTTTTGTTTTTATTTTGATTTCAATAAAAACACACTTCCCACTCTAACATTTCAAACTTCCACGTGGCACACAGGGGGATCAGTTCCAGTTGATATAAGCCTGGATGAAGAGAGGGAGGAAATAACTTAATTGCTTTAGACTTCAGTTCAGCTGGAGTGGAGAGGAAAGAATCAGCGTCCCTTCTTTGGAATTCAGCAAGAAGGTCGTGTTGTTGGTGAGGAAAGAGCTTCTGCAGGTTTTGTGGAGGTACTGTATGGAGCACTGCAGGGCACTCACAAAACAGGTGGCTTTATATTTAATATAGTAACTGCTGTCAGGGGAAAAAAGCTGTGCTGCTTTCTTGGGAATATTGCTGCACTTGGAGCATATTGTTAGCAAATATATCTTCCTGTTCTTTCACCAAGAATGGGGAAATAAGAAATGTGAGGCTTCTGGGCTGAGTGTCTGTGTCTCTGTGTGTGTGTAAGTGGTGGAAATGTTACTGCTGTAATGCAGGGCATAGAGGATAAAGAAGAGATTGAGTGGATGGGGTGTCACAGCACATTTGGGGACTTTCCTGTAAGGCATTTGTAGTTTCAGCCTATTGATCCCTGGTCCCCAAAGATCAGTTAATGTGTTGAAAAGGAGGGAGAGTTAAAGGGGAAGGAGATAAAATGCAGGAAAACTGCTGATCTATCTGTTCCTAGCTAATTTGAACCAGACCCCCAGAGAATGGGAGGACATTCCCACCTGGAATTCAGATTTGGGTTGAATGCAGCTAAACTCAAAGATGTAGTAACAGTGCAGCTCCAGTGTCCTGCAGTGAAATGCAGAAGCACACACACTGTCTCTGCCTCTCTTCTGCCAATTCCTGCATGCTGGCTCTTGGCTTTGCTCACAGATTTTACAAACTGTGTTGACAAAAGTAATGGGAGATTGTTTATTTCCCAAGTCTTTATATTCAGGCCATAGCTGCTTCCTCTTTCCTACTCACATTTTCCTATATGGTGGCTTTGGAAAATTCCTCTCTGATTTCGCTGGGAAGTGCAGGAAGCTCTCACTGGTAGAGGGTTGCCTGTTACTCTCTCCAGTTCTGCTGCTCACATCTGGAAAGGATCTGGCTTGGAAAGGGGAAACTCACTCTGAGCTCAGTGCATGTTACTGACATGGCATGAGCTGAGAGAGCCTGTGGGGGCAAGAGAAATGTTCTTCTCCATTCATCTCATTTCTGACAGCAAAGGTGAGTTTTTCTATTTTTTTTTAAAGCTGGCTGGTCAGACAACCTGCAGCAGCAGCAGCCTCCCTTTCAGCTGCAGCTTTTAGCAAGGATACTCAGTGTAACAAATTCAGTTAACCTGTTGATTTTGAAGGAGAATCTTCTCCTTCAGTGAATGTTTTTCTATCTGTGTGTGTGTCTTGTGAGAATGTGAGTGGGGAATGATAGGTAACAGAGATGAGGTATTTTGAAAGTGATTCTGTTGTTTATTGGGAGCACTGTAATCACTGAGAAGCATTCAGTAACTCCTGAAACTTCAGTTTACCTCTTGAGACTGTGCCTTTTGTAGCACTCCTGTGCTGTGAGGCACTGAAGTGCAGGTATCACTTGTGTCTGGACTCAGAAAGATGCAGCCACAGAAACCCCTGAGCTGGTTTCAGTGTCACTTCAGCCTTTGGGTGGCAGGACCTGCTCCAAAGCTCACCTACAGCAAGGGAAGGGGATTGACTCTTTCTGGTGGGTTTTGAGCTACTCCTTTAGAAGTTTTCTTAACAAGGCTTTGAATCAGGCCCATGGGAATGAGCTGAAGTAGAGTTACTTCAGCCTTTCTTTGAACTAAAAGAAAATCACCATCATGCCTGGTTTGACTGCCTGCACTCCAGATGTACACAGATGTTCCTCTATCCAAAGTGTCTCCCTGTGCTAGAGCAGCAGTCCCTCCAAAGACATTGTAGCAGACACTTGCATATTGATAAGGGGGTGAGATCACCCCAAAATCTTAGTGTGCAATAGACAGAATATTTCATGTTAATTTTCTGACATCTTTTCAGCAACAGATGTGGAAAAAACAGCATGTTGCAAACGTAGAGAGTCCAAGAAAAACCACAATGTAACTGTGCTATGGAAACAGTGGTGATACTGTAACAGCAGAGCTGATTGAGACCTGTACATGCAAGGTTTTCTGTCTATAGTTTCTTTGGCAAGTGTCTGTAAGGGCGAGCTGTTATATAGGAAAAATACTTTCTTAGAGATCTGAAATACTTTCTGAGATTATTTTCTCTAAGATTTCTGAAATATTTTCTGAGATTAGGTCACTAAATACTAAGGATTTTACTAATCTACTGTTGGCATACTCATATGGCCAGCTTTGGTCTCAGTGTTAATAACTGCCATACAAGGAAAGTTCTATAAAAGAGATTAATTTAATTATATTCAGCTATTACAGATATGGAAGCTGTAAAATAGTGGAATGGGGGAAAGAGAGATCAAGCACAATGATGTATGTGCATGGTTGTAGCAAAGACGGACTAAAGCAAAACCAGCATTCATGTTTTGGGATGCTCTACCCTGCAGTCCCACTTGCTCCCATTTCTTCAAGTCAGTGTTTTAAAAACTTACTTAAGACTTTCATGGCTGTGACTGAGAGCAGGATGTCCCCAATGCTTCCCAAGCACCCAAGCTCTCTGAGAGAGCTCCTGGTGTAAAGCTGCAAAGACTTGTGAATGGATGTAAATGGAGACACAGCTTTGACAGCTGCCAGTCTGGCTCTGTGGGGTTCTTGTTTCTGATGCAAAGAAGGAATCTGGGTTAGCAGAGCTGAAGAGAGTATTTATTTGATAAGGTCATGAATCCATTGTGCCTCTTCACCTTAAAAGATCAGCCTAAGTCTTTCTCATTGCTGTCAAATCCTTCTGTGAAAAAATAGCTGAGAGGATAAATGACAAGCCATAACCAGCTCTGACTGCAAACCTTTATGTATGAAATCTGAGAAGGGCAGCAAGTGGGACCGAGGGGGCTGGGTTAGGGCCAGCTGGCTGCTCCAGTAGATACTCAACTTTTGTTTGGATTATTTTAACCTGCTGCCAGAAAGATAAAAGCTGAACATTAGCCAAGTGTCTTAGGTTCAGATCAGCACTCTCCAAAATCCATAGGAAGCCCGTTCTGTTTTCAGTAGCTGCAAGGTTTTGTTATTGTTCGATGCACGTGTAGCAGCCCCTCTGAGAATCACTCCTGACCAGCCTCTATGTTTAAATAACGAGAAGGATTTCTTCCTATGGAAAACTGTGAGGAACGGTACGACAGACAACCACATTGAATTAACTTTGCACAACCTCTTCCCTACATCTGGGGGATCATCTGGCGTTTCTCAATATGAAAAAAGCAATAAATATCTCGGGGAGTCGGGGCCGGTGCGGGGGATGCTGTCGGACCCACTGGTTGGGCAGCGCAGTCCCCAGAGAGCCTTGAGGGGCCGCGGAAGCGCCCCGGGACAGCGGGAAGGCGGCGGCGGGGCTGGCCCGGCCGGGCCGGGGTGGCGGGGCTCGGCCGGGCCGGGGTGGCGGGGCTGACCCGCTGTCCGGCCCGCAGGGGCGATGCCCGCCGGGCGCCGGGCGCTGCTGGCGCTGCTGGGGCTGCCGGCGCTGCTGGCCCTGGGCTGCGCCGCCGACAGCGATTTCGCCGAGGGCGGCCCGGAGCGGCGGCGGCCCGGGCCCGGCCCCGCCTGCCCCCGCGACTGCGGCTGCACCCAGGAGGGCGTCGTGGACTGCGGCGGCATCGACCTCAAGGAGTTCCCGCTGCTGCTGCCCGAGCTGACCAACCACCTCTCCCTGCAGGTAAGGGCGCGATCCATCGCCCCTCCCGCGCCCTCATTCCGGCCCTGAACCCCGGCTCCTTCCCTCAGCCCTTCCTCGGCTCCCGGCGGGAGCAGCAGGTGCAGCGGGCCCGGCTCCTGGTTATCGGCATGCTCTCCCCTCACATCCAGGGAGGGGAAAAAGAGCTCCACATTCTCTCATTTTGTCCAAACCAACAATTTCTTTTTTCTCCTTTGGCCAACCCAAGTTTCTGGTGGAGCCCTTCCATTTTGAAGTGTCTTTGAAGAATATGGGCTAAATGACAAAGAATTCTTTGGACAGAATGGTGCCTTAGTTCAGACACAGTGAGCCAGTCCAGAGGCAAGGCCAGCCCATGTCCCCTGCTGTCCCACCTCTCTCTGCAGCACACGGACTCAGCAAGGAGCAGGTGACATGGCCAGTGCTACCATCATGCCAAGTGTCATGCCTACAGCAAGTGGTCCTGCTCCAGACACCTCATGTCTTGTCATGAAAAGGTCATATGAGATGTGAGATTCTAGTTTCAGGAAGAAGAATGAGGATGTCCTAGACTGTCAGCAGGTTTCTATGCTCTGCTCTTAGTTATTTGATTCCTGTGACCATCATTTGGACAGGTGTCCTTTCCCTGCCAGTGCTCTGAGACCTGAAGGGACAGAGCATGGCAGCCCTGTGGCTGTGCCTCCTTGGAGCAATGGCAGTGGTCGAGGTTTTCAATGCCTGGCCCTTCACCAACTGCTTTCGATTTATTGCTCCCATTTGTCAATTCTGCCCAATGGATGAAATGCAGATTTTGTTTAGAGATTTTCAGTTAGAAAAACTGTAATGTAAGCTGGCACCTTCCTCATCAGATCTGTCCCAGGCATGGCTCCTGCCTCTGCTACCAAAAGAAAAGAAGCTTTTTGGAGCTGCAGTTGTCACTTTCCGTGCACTGGCCTGGCTTCAGGACAGGGGATCCTTGACTGGATGCTGAAGCTAGAACCACTCATTAATGGCTGGAATGTTAATCAGCATGTTAATGAAAATCTGATGGCAGTCACCCCTTACAGCACAACCAGTGCAAGTGAGCCTGGTTTGACGCTCCCTGCCCGTGACCAGGGGTTTTTAAAACATCCCATGAATAACAGAAGCCATAAGCTTGGAAATCCACCCTACCAACCTTGTAACAAATGCTTTGCTGCAGCTACAAGGTTTGGCTGTGGCAGATGGACTGTGGGCCTTGCCAGGCATAATCACACTCTTTGTGAGCTGCTGGTGCATAAGCTGGATATTCCTGGAGATGAGCAGAAGTCAGGCTTTCAAATGCTCCTGGGTTTGGATGTTTTTGGTTTGAGATCTGAGTTTGGCTCATTATGAGAGAAGTCTTTACAGGGATTTGACATGGTGGGTTCACTCCCAGATTTTATTGAAGTTCACAGTCTGGGTTTACTGGGATCCTTTTTGGATTACTTTGTTGATGATTAATACTCTCCATTTTCTTAGAATAACCAAATAGAAGAAATCTTTCCAGAAGAGCTTGCTCGTCTTTATAGACTGGAAACTCTCAATTTGCAAAACAACAGGCTGACTTCAAAAGGTGAGCCACGGGATGGACAGAGCCTGTGCCTCCAGAGCGGCAGCTTATGCAATGAGGCAGTGACAGCTGATAAGGAAAGCCAGGGTGATGGATTGCTTGGTTGGAGTGGTTTGCTGTGAGCCTCACTCCTCTGGCCATCTCACAGAGCATGGAGACACTTTATCATCTGAACACAAGACTCAGTGTGGAGGAATGCAGCCCTGCTGAAGCAGTGGAGGAGAGCTGGCAGCAGCTCGTGTGCTGTGGTGTGAGATCTCCTCGTCCAGGAAACTCCCTCTGCTCCCACAGGCACTTCCATGCAATGCACTTGAGAACTAGAAACATCCACATGCTGAATGGTTTCCTCCTGAATGACCTTGTTTAGTTCAGTCTAGTCAGGCTGGGCAGTTTGGGCCAGTTTTGTCCTTGTCAAATTTGGTATGAATTTATATGTATAATGCAAATAAGGACATTTCTACCCTTCTCAAACCACTTTGATTTTTATAGGCAGGTTTTGCTTGTCCAGTCTCATGATTATTAGAGAAACTTAACAAGGGGTTTAGTGAGGAAAGTAAAAGAAACAGAGGAATTGGAGTAAACAATAAGAGAGGAGGATATGGGATACAAAAGATGTAATTATTATTAATTTATGTGTCACCCACTTGATCTGAATGCTCTTTTTATCTTTACTGAAATGACAGAGAACAAAATTTATTGAGAATGTGGGCATATTATACATGGGCCCCAAGGCACAACAATCTTACAGAGCACAGGGAAAGCTGTGCTTATTATATCCAGCCTTTGACACTATTACCTTTGGGCCTGCATGTTTTCTTTCACAAGCTTCACTGCAGCCCTGAGTTTCCAACGTGTTTGGACATGGAAAATAGCTTTGCCTGTGACAAGTGCCAGGTGAAAGTGTTTCTTTCCATTGTGACAGCAGGTGGGATTTTGTCATCAGCTGGATGTGGAGTGACTCAGCTGAAAATTAATAATTATTGGGGGAGGATAAGCCCTGAGTTGGAGCAGCTCTCTGAGCTGGTTACTGTTTGGATACCTGAATTGTGGAGGAGCAGAGCAAGAGGGGAGTTGTGACATGCAGGTTATTTTAGCAATATAGTCATCCACGAGGTTGATCTGATCACTAAGCAACCTCAGATTATATCCTTGCAAGAGAAAAGACTTGCAGAATCTTATGCAAATTACAGGAGAAGGTTCTCTGACAGTGTGGTTGCTGCAAGCACTGACAATCAGCCACAGAGCACAGATCTGCACAGCTCTGTACCTGACACCTGCCAGTGGCCTTGGCCACAAGCCTTGTGTGATCAGGATTTTAAATAGTCCTCCATTGCTCTTAACAAGTGTGTATTGTTTGATTTGGTTTGTGGGTTTTTTTCTTTTCCCAATTAAAAGAGATACCAATGGACTTGAATCACATTGTTTCAGTGGCTATAAAAAGTGTTTCAATCTCACATGGAAGGTACTGAGAGGGAAAGCTGCCCTGTGGTATTTTCACTCAGAAAGGCAGAAAGGTGCTGATGTCACTGATTAGCTATTCCTGTTTTTAAGGGTTGCCAGAGGAAGCATTTGAGCATCTGGAGAACCTGAATTACCTGTACCTGGCAAACAATAAGGTAAGAGGCTCTGAAGCCTTTCAGAGCTCTTTTCTAATTGGGTTCTGAAAATTAAATGAGCAAGTTGTCAATTCTTGTAAAATGTATATAATACATAAGTTATACTGTGCTAAAATGATATTCTAATGCAGGTTCATCTAAGGTCAAAACAGTATGTGAAGTTTAGAGGCTACACATGCAGGTATATTTTGAACACTTGTTTATTTGTGCACCTGGTGAAAAGATTCCCATGTGTAGGGAGCTACAGAAAGCCCCTGCATGCAAAAATTACCACTGACTTCAGTAGGCTTTGGGGCAGCTGCATGCAGATTTGGTTCCTGCCTGTATGTTGGGTAATTATATGAAATGCTGCCTTACCAGATGAGTCTGGTTGAAAATATTGTGAACAAACACATCCTACTGCCTGTGTTTGAACCATGAAGATCTGTAAAAATGCATTTTCCCCTGTATTTTCCCTATGCCTTTTTCCCTGACTCCCATTTTTATTAGGTTGGATATGGGGAGAATAATCCCCCACACAGTGATACTGTGCCAGTCATTAATTTCTTCTTTTAGCTGCAGTGATAGGACCTGAATTTCTTCTTTTGATGGAGAAGATCCCAGGTGCTTTCCTATTGTGACCCAGGTTGGATGTATTGACAGAAGTACATCTTTCCTGCCAAAGTTAGGAAATGAAATAGTTCTTATATACCCTTGCATCTGGGTGGTTCCTGTTATGGCTTCTTTTATCCCCAGTGGTTGTCCACAAATATTTGCTACAGAAGAAATTAGGATCCACAGAAAAATATAAGTTAAAACATCAGGCAGAGCTTCTTTGTCTACAGAAATCCTGTCCTTCCATCCCACCCTCTCTCTCTCTCTGCATGTCTGTATATATATTTTATTATCCTCTTAAAATCTGGGACCATTTGATGTTCTGATTAAATACATGTGGCCACATTCAGCTTTCAGTCAGGCCAAGACACATCCAGAATCACTCCATACATTTCTGTATGGAGTGATTGAGAATAGAATCCATTCCTTAGTACAGTAACATTGTGTTCTTTTCTCTCTTTCAAGCACCATTTCCATGTAACAATCTTGGCAGTTAATAACTCCATAAAAAGGAACAAGCCAGACTGTGACTAATATTCCAGAACCTAGCACTCTGATTTTCCCTGTGTAACAAAACAAAGTGTTTGGTTTTTCTGGCTTTGCTGCAGAGAGAAAAGAATCCCAAAAGAAATTGCAAACATCAGCGAATGTCACAAGTAGTTACAGTGACAAGTTGTGGACCCACAAAAATAACACATTTCTTTATAAATCACAAGCCAGGACAAACCAGATTGGCTTCAGACTGCATCTCCTCTGCAGCAGGAAACACTGGGGATCAAGTTACTGTGGTGTCTGGAGGAGAGCAGGGATTTGCTGGTAGTTTGCTTCTTGTTTTATGGATTATCTTAATGCTGCTTTATCTTCCATTGTGATCCCATCAGATGTGGCTAAATCATCTTTCATTAAACTGGCACAGTTGGTCAGAGAAAAGAAATGTAAGAGACTAAAAGCTTTCTGTGGCCTCTGAGTAACAAGTACTTCAAGTAAAGAGTGGATGCTGTAGTTTCCTTTTTAAGTTTTCACCCCACTCCCATGTTTTGTCTCTCTCAAATAGAGTGCACAGTAAACCTTGTTAATGAGAGAAATTGTTCCACCAAAGGATAGACCAGATCCTGAGCTGTCATTATTGACTATAAGCAGGTGATTTTGTGACAGAAGGTTTACATTTCCCCATACCCTCAAAGTGATATGGGATTCACCTCAATCCAGCACTTCTGGTTTTATCAAAGCTTCATCCAAGCAAGAAAAATCCGAGCAATTCAAATCTGGTAATGACTTTTGTATTTACCTTCTCAATTCATTAGTTAACAGTGGAGAAACACTCTGTTATATGGAAGGGAAGGTGCAGCAGGAAAGCTGAAGGAAAATTGCAGTAGGAGAAATGGCAGATTGCTTCTTGTTAGGCAATAAATCAGACAAAGCTATTCAAGTCAACTTTATTTTTGCTAACACTTAAAACAATCTGGCATGAATCCTTCAAGAAGGTAATCAGTGAAAATCGGTCTCATGACCAAGTGCTGAAATGCCAAAGCAAAATCCTGAGCAAGTGAAAACTCTTTTTGGATTAAACATCTTTTTCTCTTTCTTCTTTCTTGTGGTTCTTATGTCTCTCATTTCACATGTCTGAGCCATGCCCTTTGCTTTATACAAAAGTTATGACCTAACTGACTGGAGAAAAGCTTTAATGTACCACTGTGTATGAAAATGATTAAGTCTTGTTTCCTGTGTCTGAATTGTCAGTGCTACATCATGGCAGAGACTTATTTCTTTCTGAGGCACTGTCAGACCCTCTCAGTCAGAGATGAGTGCTTTTATCCAGAACTCTGCAATCATATCTCCCAGATCAGGAGGTGAGAGATTACCACCAAAGCCAAGAGCAACTGCAGGAATATGCAGAATGGCTCATTCCAGTGCTCACAAACCATCTGGAAATGCTGATAGGAGTGTGATTTGTGGGAAAGATCTTTTTGTGTGTTTGTGACACACAAATGTTTAAGACAGGCTAAGGATGGAAGTTTTGGAACAGCTGAAAATGAAACCCAGTAAATAATGTATTCTTTTTTAAAAGACTGTTTTATGAGTCCAGTAAATTGGGAGTTCATGGATGGAGTTCATCAATGCACTCTCGACATACCAGTAGAGAGGGGTGTAGGCAGCCTTTAGATAAATACATAGTTTAAGGCTTGGGTTAGGCAGTTCTCCAATAAAGTGTCTCTTCTTTCACACAGTGTTCATATCTTAGATATTTTTGGTTTTACACTATTATTCATAACCCACTGCAGTTTTATGGTAATACAAGTTTGAAAAATATGGTTTCTCATTATGTGAGTCTTGCTGTGCTTTGTAGGCTGAAAGGACCAGGTTCTGTTTCACACTACAGAGCTGTGAGGAAGATCACAGATTCCATGAACTTCAGGCTAGAAGGCAGATCCCTTCCATTGCCCCAGTCTCCCATCCTGATCTCAAAGAATTTCGTATCTGCCTTTGGAGTGCACATAAAACAGAGTGGTCTCATTAGTACTGCAGTGAACACCTGTAACCAGGGTGGCTGCACCTGCTGACTGCAGTTCACTGTCTTCTCCACTCAAGGATCATCTGGTACAGCATTGTGTTAAAAATTTGTTTCCCAAGGGCTTTATCTTGATACATAAACTTCTGGGTGTATGCTTGCCAGAAAACTGCCCTCCATCCAGCCTGGGTTGTAAGCTGTACTCTTGGTTTGTGGGTGAATGACTTTGCTATTAACAGCCACTCAGTGAACCTGGCTATTGTATTACCTGGATGCTCTCTAAAACGGAGCTTTTTTTGATCATTGCTTTTTACCCCACCAATTTGTTCAGATGCAGGTGTTTCTAGGGTTAGCTTTTAAAATCACTGATAAAAGCAGCAACAAGAGAAACACATTCACTCCTATACCTGTTGTCAGCTATAAAGTTTTGAGGACAGGGCCTTTCTGTACTTCCTGATGCATCACTGGTTTATTGAACGAGGTACCACTGTACCCTTTGCTTTGAAGTGCCATTCAATATTCCATCATTTGGCTCAGAAGTGTCCTGCTTCTTTGGGAGCCTGAATCCCCCCTGCAGAGATCATCATAAATGGCTGCAGTGGGGCAGAGGTGTGAAGTGACACCTCCCCTCCACAATACACTTTCCTAAGAGAATGAGCACTAGGTCACTGTGAGGGGGGTTGGAGGTTTTTGGCACAGCAGACTGAGGAATTAGGAACAATAATAAGCAAAGTGTTTGCTCTCTGAATAACAATTTCTTGATTTCTTCCACCAAAAAGAGACAGGACCCTTCCAACCAAAACAAACATTTTCATATCTTAGAGCAAAAGTCTGTCTCCTTCCTGGAGAGATTAGTGAGTGAGGACAATTTGTTTTTGTTCATGAAATCTACATTCAGTTTCATTTATCTTTGCCTGTTTAGGGAAGATAAATTTGAAAGTGTTTTGCTGCTACTCTAATACTTGGTTAAAACATTTGCTACATTTCATTGGAACTCCCCTGTATATTTCTTTTACAGCTAACAGTGGCTCCAAAATTCCTACCAAATACCTTGATCAGTGCAGATTTTGCAGCCAATTATCTCACTAAGATATATGGGCTCACATTTGGACAGAAACCAAACTTGAGGTAAGGGACTGGGAAGTAAAACAATACTGGTGTTCTGCCACTGCTTGGATGCAGTTGGTGGGTGATAAGAAAATATCTGGCTAAACTATATTATTGCCTACTCGTGTTTTTGGAAAGAAGCTGTTTGTTATTCTCAGCATGAAAGATCAAACAAACACATTCCAAAGGCTTTTGCTAGCTGCCAGACACTTCTGCAAATATCAAATGAAGTTGTCCCCATTTTATTTGTGTATTTGATTTGAAAAGAACAATTAAGTTTCTCAAAATGGAGATTAGCTGTTTAGAACTCTCTAGTTTTATTATAGTCTGTTCATTTTTAAAAGTAAAATCAGGTGGAGAGGGCAGTACTCAGTGCAGTATAACTCAGTTCTGTTCAAGGTAAGCACTTCAGCACCTTCAGAAGGGGTTCATCCTCCAGATCTGCTGCCAAAGGTCTCTGCTGGCTTCAGGCTGTGATTTTTGATTTTCTCACCTGGACTGACAGCAGCACATCCATGTCAAACCCAGAGGCATCCAGAACACCTCCTGTGAGGTGTGGGCTTTGCTGAAGGGGTTTTGAGTCATCTGCAGCATCCACACACTGCACCATGCAGATCCTGCAAAGACTCCCAAACTGTTGGGAGCAAGTTGTGCAGCCAGCTTTGGAAGCAGTTAATTACAGCTGGCCCAGCTGAGCCCCTACAGCCCAGTCTTGTGATGAACTGAAGAACTTTCCATTCCCACTGAATTAATTGAGAGCTGGAGCAGCTCTGCACTTCCTGGGCCTTTAGTCTCTCAGGCTCTTGGAAGCTGAAAGGGCTGAGTCACTCACAGATTTCTGGCAATATCTCATGATGAAAGAAGCCAGATTTATCCATGTTTTCTTCCTTAATCTCAGGTGGAGATGCTGCTGTCTTTTGATCCCATATTAAAATTATTGACTCTTCAGAAGTGATTTTCACACTTTCTATACAAACACAAATTTTAATCAGAACAAGAGCTAATTGATTTCCAAGGTTACTCATATAAAATCCCAACACTGTTGTTTCAGTTGTTTTTTTGCCCCCAGCAGAGTTCATGATCTCAGACTGATTATTTGGAGAGTAAGTTTTTCAGAAAGGCAAATATTTGTGAGTTAAAAGTACAGCTGACCATGCAGGGTAAACAATACTTCCAGTGTAGCTCTGAACTCTCTGGAGTGTGTGATCACACAATTGTATTTCCATACTGAGCCTTTCCTTCCTTCCAGAAGGATGTTGCCAAGTTCTCTGCTACTGGTAGAGAATCCAACAAGTTAAAAAAGCTCACTTGACACTTTTGCAGTTTTAACCCTTCTCTACAAATTTAGCTGCCTGCTGCATCTGGGGGTAAACACAGGAAAGGAAGAGGTAATCAAAGTCACTAAAAGCCTATAATTTCTTCTGTTAAAAAGAAGTAAAATGAATTAATTTAGCAGTTATGCCAGTGAAAAGAAGGAATAACTTCATAGAGGTACATGGCTTTGTACAGAATTGAAACCTGTGTAAGGATGAATCAGTTTCTGAAAATCTGTTTGGAGAAACTATTTGGTGAGTATTAAAGGTTGGAAGTAAGAAGGGCAAAGGAAAAGTAAGAAACTCTGTCTCTCAATCCCAATGGCTCATTAAAAACCAAAGCATAGAAAAGAGAAAAGTCTGCCAGACTGAGTCAATCTCTTGTCTTTCTGTCAGTATCCTATTCTGAGTTCTAGGAGTAGGAGAGAAACTGTTTCCTGGGCTGTTTCCAGCCTTCATGGGAGCAGAAAGAATGGAGGGTTAAGAGATGGTCCTTTCTTATGAGACCTCCAGGCTGATTTTATAAGCCCAAGCATCCAGACTCAATTCTAAATAGAAGTTAAAGGTGGGGCTGTATCTGTTAAAAAGAGATGAATTCTGACCCTCTGAGTGAGGCCCCCACACTGACATTCTGTGTTTTTAAGTACTGTGTTTTTAAGATTTTGAGTAGACATAACTTTCAGAGAATATAGGGGCTGACCATTTGGTTTTGCATCTGTATCCCTTGCTAAATTAAAAGGCACATTTTAAAACCAAATCTAATTATCTCAAGGAAAGAAGAAAATTGAAATTAAGTTTTAAACTAAGCTTTCTCTCAGTAAACAAAAACTCCAGATCTCCCTATCTGTTGACTTCATCTTTTGCTTCCTTCACACAGATCTGTGTATCTTCATAACAACAAACTTTCAGATGCTGGGTTACCTGACAATATGTTCAATGGCTCTAATAATGTGGAGATACTCATCATGTCCAGCAATTTCTTGAAGTATGTTCCAAAGAATCTCCCTCCAGCACTATATAAATTACACTTACAGGTAATGGCAAAAATGTTTTGTAATCCTTTAGGATTGTGACAAAGTACTGTGTTTGTGTGGGTTTCTGGAACATCCCCAGGCCCACTTTAAGGCTTTCCTGCTGGATTCTCAACAGTAGCTGTCCCCATCTCCTTCCTTTTTTTGTCCATAAGCAATAGTGTGTTTTTGTAAATCACCAGATTGCTCACAGGGGGCAGAAATGCCTTTCTGTGTTTGCAGGGGGATGTACTCAAACCCCTGTGTGGTTGCATTGTTGGTCTCCTCCCTGCATAAAACAATATTAATACATATTAGAACAGCAAGTGCATCATTCCATGGCCTTGTCTCCATGACCTCCCAGGTAAGTTTGCCCCCAATGCCACTTGTCCTGACAGCTGCTTACCCACTCTGTACTGGCTTTGCTCACTGACTCATTTCACACAGACCACTGCTTCCCAGCACCAGTGGCTGCTGCTTGCTACTGAGCTGGCAATTCACTTTGGATCAGGAATTCCCTATTACTACAACTCCTCCAGCCATAGTGCAATAGCACAGTTGTGCTGTTAACTACTCTCCAGCATTTTGGATTCCATGTCATCTGATTCTGATAAAAACACTTCATCATGTCTGAGCTGGAGATCTGAGCCTCAGCAATGGGAGAGCCACAGCACTGGGGAGTCCTGGGTCTGCTTGCTCTGAGTGTTGACAGCTCTTTGGACATGCAGAGACTGGAGTCTGTTATCAGCCCTGGACTGAGGCAGCTCTGTGCTGCCTCCCAGCTCTTTTCCCTTGAAGGTTTCACCAGAATTCCTGTTAAAGTCTTCTAGAGAACAGGCTTCTCCAGCTTGAAGAAAAGTAGATGCAACCAGTCCAGTCCTTTAAATTGCTGGAATTTCCCTTCAAAAATTTTCCCTTATTTGTCCCCTGCATTTTTTCAACACTTACAGATAATCATAATCTCCCAAAGGGGTCTCACACTGTGAGGATTGCTCTTTGAACTTGTCTCCTTCCCTGCTGTCCCCAGCTGTGTTAAGGACAGAGGAGATGAGCAGAGAAATGAGTGTTTTATTTGCAAGTGCACCATCTGTCAGTAGTAACATTTACCTTGATATTTTGACTGGGAAAAAACAGGACAACAAGAAATGAGAGGCAGCCAAAAGTGGAACAGAAATATCTGACAGGTGTACTTAAGATGTGGTTTTTTCTTTTACTTTTTATTGAGACACTCAGCCAAATCTGTCTGGGTTGGTTTCTACTTTATATACATTGACAAATGAATCTGGTCCATTATAAAGCTCCCTAAATATTTCATGTCTAGCCCTTCTGAAGTTTAATTGCCCCTGGTAGTTGAACAGAACCCAAATGTTGTGTTGATTCATGCCAAATACTGTGCTTTGTGCTTCTGGTGATCTAGAGCAACAAGCTGGAGAAGATTCCCAAAGGAGCCTTCAGCGAGCTTGCCGGGCTGCGGGAGCTGTATCTGCAGAACAACTACTTGTCTAATGAGGGAATGGACAATGAAACTTTCTGGTGAGACTGAGATGTGCACTGTGTGCCTCTGTGCCTGTCTGCTCCCTCTGGGACAGTTGTGCATCTGCTGAACAAAGGACACAGTAGAAAGTGAAGTTATTCAAAGCTGGGTGATGTTATGCATTTCACTGCTTAGACGCAGATGCTGCCATTCAAGAGCAAAGTGGTGGGTGAGTGGTTGCAGAATTGTTTTATACAAAAAACAGAACACTGAACATTAGACTGCACCACTCCCTGCCTGCCACAGACCCAGTCAGACCAGGTACTAAATCCCTTCTGGGAACAGCCACCTAGAACAACTGAAAGCTACTCTCTGCTCTTCCAAAACATTCAAAAGTGAGGTTACCTGGGACTTTCCAGTTTCCAGGGCACTTCACTGGGCATTAAAGCCAGACCTTCATCTTCACTGCAGCCACTTGTGTGTTTCTGTGAAGGTGGTTGGAAAGCAGCCCCACACACAGAGCTGTGAATTCCCCATGCCCAGCTGTATCCCAGTGCAGGTGGTTGCTGGAGCAGGCAGGGATGCAGTGGTGCTGCTCAAGAGCCAGATGGCTGCAAAAGCTTTCCTACCAACTGGTGCAACAGAAATAGCCTTTGGCTGTCCTAGATTTAGCCTGGGACTTAGCACTTCAGAAATTTAACAATTTTTTTTCTCTGCTTGCACCGAATGCTGTCTTTGTTCTACCTGAAATTCCAGACCACACAATCGGTCCTGCACATAATTTAGTTCTGTAAACCCTTCTGATCTCCAGACACAAAAATATAACAAACTGTGCTTTCCTTTTCCATTTCCCATTCCCAGAAACCTCCCTTAGTAGTTTACTATATCTGTGTTGAGTCCACCTCCTGTCATGTTGGACATATAAATTCTGTTAAGATATTCCCATCCTGGGGAAACCTTACAAATGGCAGCAGTGAAGCATTTTACCTAAAGATTATATTTGTTTATTCAGAGCATGCTTGGATAGCTGGAACAGCAGTGTAGTAACCAGTAAGTAATGTCTGTAACACATTAGTCTTCCTGTTTCCTGAAAACTCTCGGGTCATCTGCAATGGGTTATGTTGTGTCAAGTAGATTAAAACTCTAACTTGAGCTGAGAAACTGACTTGAAATACAAGGGAATACAGGGTTCCTCAGTCCTGGCTGTGGAACAACCATTGATCCATATCCAGTTGGTATAAGTGGCTGGTCTGAGGATTTAATTTAGCTTCAACTGAGACCGTGGAATCCAGATTCAGTAGCTTACACAAAGCAGCTCTAGCCCTGACTCACTTCCATAATACTGGAGGGTCATGAGGAGTTCACTACCTTAGCCTAGGACACTAAGTTAGCATTTCTGCTTTTCATAAAAGTAACATTTCATCATCTAGAAAGCAGACCTGCCTTTCACTTTCAGCAAATACTTTGAGAGAGACAGAAATTACTCATGCTCAGGCTTTGTTTCTGTGAAACTGAGAGCTAAACTCCGAGTTGTGGTGGTGGTGCCACGGCATCTTCCTTGTGGTATTTGTTCACTGGAATTGCTCATGTGTTGCTATCTGGGACTGCAAAACTGATCCCAGGCCTCAGCTCAGTGGCAGTTTGGGTGTCTGTGGACTCTGGCATGTTCTCTTGCTGGTGTGGCTGGGGAGCAGTGGCAGTGCCAAGCTCTAATCCCTTATGGCAATATGGGAGCTCCCTGTTTTGGTGTTCACATCATTCATATCCCAAGTCAGAAAAGGGCAGTCAGTAGTGGGAGCTGTGCTGGGCAAAAAGGCTCTAAAGCAAAGATTGCAAAGTCTTTGAGCAAATTGGTTATTGTTTCACCTTGCAGAATCAAAATGTTTTCTTTCCTGCTTTCCCAAGGAAATTGTCTAGTCTTGAATATCTGGATTTGTCCAGCAATAACCTCTCCCAAATCCCAAGTGGTTTACCTCGAAACATCGTCCTCCTCCACCTGGAGAAGAATGCAATTAAGGTGATTGACAGAGATGTCTTGACCCAAATTAAGAACCTGGAGTACCTTCTGCTCCACAATAACAAATTAAAAGCCCGAGGTATTCACCCCTCAGCCTTCCATGGCTTAAAGAAGCTGCACACTGTGCACCTGTACAACAACATGCTGGAAAGGATCCCCAGCGGGCTGCCCCGGCGAGTGAAGACACTGATGATCCTTCACAACCAGATCTCAGAGATCAACAGGAATGACTTTGCTACCACTTACTTCCTTGAAGAGCTGAACCTGAGCTACAACAAGCTCACAAGCCCCCAGATCCATCGGGAGGCCTTCCGTAAACTGCGGCAACTGAAGTCCCTGGATCTTTCTGGAAACAATCTCCACACGGTGCCTTTTGGCTTCCCAAAGAACTTGCAGGTTCTGAAGCTGAAGGAGAATGAGATAAGCATCATCCCAAAAGGGACTTTGTCTGGGATGACAAAGCTGAGGGAACTGTATTTGAGCAACAATAAACTGAAAGTAAATTCAATTTATTCAAGAGCATGGAGAGAACTCAGCAGTCTTCAGGTAGAAACACCACCTTCTCTAATTGTTTTAGTGATGCTGATATCCTCATCTGTCTGCCTAAATCAAATTATGTAGCACCAATACTAAATGTGCTTGGTCCTCGTGTTTTGGGGTTGCGTTGTAAGTGCTGCACACTCTGTTTCTAGAGTAGAAATGATGTGCTATTGTGCCAGAGGTGGGTACCTTCCACTGCTGGCCAGTCCAGCTTTGTGTCTGAATCCTGACAGTGTCCTATATTTTCAGAAAAACATCAGTGAATGTTGTCATTAAAACTGAAATTAGGCCTTTCAAAGAGCTCGTCTCCCAAAAGATTTAAAATCAGCTCTGAATAGAGACAGCAGGAGGAAGGAATGCATAAACAAAAACACTCTTAATTCTCAAAGCCCCCACATCAGCTTATAGTCAGACAAGCCAAGCTGTAGGATTTAGCAGCTCAGCTGGCTAAGGCACCTGGGGAGCAGCTCGGAGTCTGGATTCAATCAGCAGTCTTCTCATTTGCTTAATTGTTGGAGAAAGTTAAACACAAACCATAAGGCAGGCAGGAACAATCACATTTGTGCTGAGCAAAACGACCTTTCAGAATTGTTACGCCGGCTGAAGGATTTGTCTGCATTTCCTTTTAGGCAACGGCCCTTTCCTGCAGTGAAAGGTATTGCCTGTGTCATACAGCAGCCACGGAGGGGGCACATGGTCAGGTCACTGCACAGCAGAGTGTGCACATCTCAGAGCAGATCAGGGATAAGGACATGCAGCATATGTCACACTGGCCCCCAGTGTGTTTTCAGACAATCCTGACGTTAATCTATAGGAACGTTTCCCTTTCTGTTGTGTCTGGGAATAACCAATAGCCTGTTCCTCAGTTAATGTCAATCAGCAGTGCAGCAGCAGTGTCTGCAGAGCTCTTTGCATCAGCTGCAGATTTGGTCCCTGGCTTTAATAATACCTTTTGCTTTTGTTTGGTGCCACACTGATACATGTGTGAGCAAATATATTTAACATGCAAAGCAGCCTGGAAGGAAGATGCCATTGAAAATTACAGATGGCTGGGATTGCTTTTCTGCAGTACCTTAATAAAATGTAGGTTGTTTTATTTTCAAACAAAAATGGGTCACGATCCCTGCTGTGTCACTGGAGTTGCTGGTTGGAATGATAAGCTTTCCTTCTCAAAGGTCCAGATTCACAATTATGTGGAACTTTTGTTCTACTCTCCCTCCCTGCAGTCAATGTAAAGCCAGAGGTGTTGCTGACTCAGCCATTGGCCATCCCCACAGCAAACCCCACTCCCACTAAACAGGGTTCAGATAACAGCACAGACCTAAAGTTCTGCTGGACTAATGGGGCTTTTATGGCTGTTGCTTTTCTTTGGAACAGCATTAATTCTTGTTGGTTCTTTCCAGCTGAATCTTTTTTATCATTAAGTGCTTAACTGTGCAGTTGGTTTCTGAGTTGTTGCACTGGAGTGAATTTGGCAAATAACCATCCATAAAGATCCTGATCATGCATATACTTAGTAAATACTTCAGTCCACACTGTTTCCATGGAAATCGCTGGAGACTCTGCAACTGCAAAGCAAGACATTTACATAATGGACTTGGCAGTACTGGGTTAACAGTTGGAGTCAATGATCTTAAAGCTTTTTTCCAACCTAAACAATTCAATGGTTCTATGATAATTGTTTTCCAGACTGGCATTATGTGAGGAATAAAAACACTGGAATGAGGACAATTGTTTGCAGAAGTGTGGCTTTGAGTAGTGGGTAAATAGTGTCAGGTTGGTGCTATGAAAATGCTACAATACAGGATAACAAAACACTTCTATTGATCCATTCTCTTGCAAAAAATTAATCTGAAAAACAACCATGACCTTTAGTCCTGCTGTCTTCATACATTCTCCATGTTAGAATATTTCCAGATGGTTTTATGTGTAACTGCACCTATCACCATCCTCAGCCAGCAAAGTGTTTGCAGTAGCAGATGCCAAGGAATTCTCCTGCATATCTGAAACCCAGCCTGTTTTTAATTTACTTAAACAGACATAGGCTAATGCCTGGGGACAGAGATAAAGAAATGTTGGGACTCTGAAACAAACCAGCATGACATATCATGTGAAATCAGGATGCTCAATAGGAGTGTAAGAGACTAGAATTTTCTTGGCCACACTTATCTTGCTGCAAATTAGAGGCAGATTAAATGATTTTGTTCTATAATAAATATAACTTCAAAATTAAATCTCTTTGTGGTGTGTTTCTAATATTTAAATTCAGTTATTTGACCCCTTGTTGTCTCTTCCTTGCAGTCACTAGACATGGCTGGCAACCAGCTGACATCTATCCCATTAGGCCTGCCAGAATCTCTGGAATATCTGTATCTCCAGAACAACAAGATCACAACAGTTTCAGAGAATGCTTTTGAATCCACACCCAAAATAAAGGGGATTTACCTCAGGTAAGGTCAAGCTTCCACTTCAACACACAAGATTTTTTCCTTCTTCATCTACTTTATAATTGCTTACTTTATAGAAAGTATTTAAAATCCTTGTTTTCTGAACAAGTATATTTGGTTTATACTAATATGTGACAAAACTGTATTTATCTGCTCAGAAACAACAAGGATACCCACAATAAACTCTTTTTAGAGAGCTTGTCTTTTCTATGCTTATTAGAATGGATTTGGCATGCCAGTAATTCTGGGCAATTAATGTTTAACATGATGTCATATTCCAATATTCAGCTGTGAGCCAAAAGTTTACAGTCCCCTTGTAGAAGTGCAGCTTTGCCTGTGTCTGTTGGCCCTGGATTTTGACAAAATCCCCCTCCAGTGAGGTGTGTGTGAGTAATCTTGGAGTTGTGTGCATTCCCTGGATAGCTTTGTCAGAAACAAGTGACAAGTTACAACTGTGACAGTGACGTAACCCAGTTTAGGGGCTTTGCTGGGTTCTTTCCCACTCTGTCAGTTGGATGAGGACTTTGTTTCTGTAGATGACAGATACTGAACTTTTTTCACATGTAATGTAAACTCACAGTAACAACTGACTGAAGCAGAGATTTATAGCACAAGAAGGGAATCTGTCCCTGGAATATATTCAGTTCTGATCTGATGGAATATTATTGAAAATATTATTTAGAAGTAATTTATGAATTCCTTAATATATGATTAAGCTGATCCAATGGCTGTGTTCAAAAAGCCTAGGCTGCAGAAGACTAAATATGGTCTTATTTTGACTATATGCAGCTAAACTGCCCTGTAGTTCTGAACAGTTCTGGAGCATACCTTTATGGATGAATGATTCCATACCAAGCAAATAAAATTACAAAGTCTGGTGTAAATTAGAGCAGTCTGTCTATTCAGCTGCTCACATTTATGAGATTTTAGTGAATGCTTGGATGTGAACCAGAAACCACATGCCACATTCTATATTTCTATATAAAGAAAAAAGGAATTTGCAAAACAGTTTTGCTAACATATTCAGGAGGCAACTCCACCCAAGCTCAGTCGTGTTTTTAATGGGAGGCCATTAATCACTGCAGTGCTGTGAAACAATAATACACATTTGGAATATTACACAGAATACAGTTCAAAAGTAACAGATCAGTATATGTGACAGGTTCATAAACTGCAGATTAGTTTATTTGTATTCCTGGAAATGCAAATAACAGCTGAAAAATGACTGCTTTGTGTTTAAAGGGTTACTTTGTTTTGAGTTTAGTAGATGAAGAATTAAACTGTCAAGGAATGACACAGAATTTTATGAAAAATCAGTTATAGTTTAAAATATGGGCTGTGAAGCAGATGCTTTTCCTCTCTGGGAAGGAGAAAGGAGAATAGCAAGAGAAAGAATTTGTGGGGGAGGAATTCCAATATTATGATTTTTTTTCTTTCCCCATCCAGAGGAGTCAGCACTTCTAGAGTGCTGTTGTGAGTCAGTGTAAGCTTAGAGTAACTTGGGTCAGTATAGAGTAGCTGCAGAATGGTTTCCTCTTAGTCCCCTAATTTCTCTGTTGTATATAAAAATGGGTTTGTTTTAACAAGGGTGCCTTTTTGTTTGTTTAAGGTTTAATAAGATTGCAGTTGGAGCACTGAAAGAAAGTACCTTCCAAAACCTGAAGCACTTACAGGTGCTGGATATTGAAGGGAACCTTGAATTCAGCAACAGTTCAAAGAATAAGGATGACTCAGAAGAGGAAATGGAAGATGAGGAAGAGGAAGAGGAAGAAGAACTGAGATAAAATGTGAACTCACACAATCCCATCATGTGGGAGGTAACAGCTGTAGTTGAGTTAAATTAAGCCCCCAGTTTTCAGATTCTTGTGTAAATAACTCAAATTTACACACATGATTGAAGCATAACAAGTGAGTGTCTGAACCCTGAACTTAAAGACTTCCACTAAAGCATGACTAGGAATCACAAATCAAAAAGGGCTGAAAATACAATACTTTGTAAAATGAAACAGTATATATCTGTTTAATCAGACTTAATGGCCTGTTCTTATTGGCTTTTGTTTATAGGCACAGCAGACACACTGGTTAAAGATGCAGGTCCTTGTTCACTAATTCTGATAACAAAAAATGCAAAGGCATTTCATGATACTTTTAAGCAATCACTTCAAAAGGAAAACAAAGAACAAACCGTGAAGCTTGCTGGTGCAGAAGACATGAGGTGAAAATAGATGACAAATTAAAGCAAGATTAGACCCATTAGTGTCTGTCATTAGATTACTGTCTCAAGCAGTATTTAAATCACTGACCACTCAGAGGAGAAAAATAATGCTATACTTAGTGTATTTCTTATGGAAAGAATAGCATCTCTACTTGAATCTCTTTTCAACTGCAGGAAAAAAAGATACAGGGACAAAGCTATTTGAAGAATATCCATTCTTTTCATAAGAATAGTGATCTATTTACTGCATCTCTTAAGCATCTTATGTTCAAAGATGATGAGGTTCAGGATTGCTCTTTGCTTCTGGAGACCTAAGAGTGGGGGAAAAATAGTTTTGTCCCTAATCAACATTTTGTCACTGAGAGTGACACAAGGAATTGCTAGGAATAGTGCTAATAAGCTTAAAAGATGATGGGGCTTGAAAAGGGCAGAAGGTACTTGGGAAGTCAAACATTAGCCCTCCTGGCTGAGTTATATGAAAACTTTGTTAGACAAGAAATAATTTATATCCACAGACTTAGGGTACATTCAAAATCAATCCTCTCTGGTTTAGTTTGGGGGCATGTGTGACATGTCAACAGGTACTATGTTTGTCTCATTCTGAATTCTGTATTCCATTATGTAACTTATTTTACTTTTCTGTTTTGCAGGAAAACATATGGAAAAATACATATATGTCTATGTGTATACATCTATATAGATATCCAGAGAACACTTAGCAAAACGTGCAATGAATTATGCAGAAACTGTTGTGGCACTGGGCCAGGCCCATGGAAGACAGTGTGTTTCAGTGCCTTATTCAGGGAGAGACCCTGAATGCCTTTCCAAAGCTTCCAAATCATCTTATACAAGACCCAGGATCATAAGGGATTGCTCTGGAACTCACAAAAGCTGGCTTTTGTTTCTTCTGTTTCTCTTCCCTCACTGTTTCCATCTGTAATAACAATATGGGACTGTTTTGAACACAGGCCTTCAAATGCCATTTTTGTCACTGCATTTTAAGTGAACCATGTTTATGCCTTCTTTCTTTTCCTCCACCCAAAAGAAGCTGTTCTTGGCCAGGGCAGATGAATATCTGCAGTAGTTTCAAGTGCAGAACAGTGTATGAGGCATTCTGGTCATCAAGCAGCAGTAATAATTCTGGATGCAATTATTTCTCTGTTATAACAATGTGTATATTTGGATGAGAAAAACAAAATAAGGCTGGATCCCGTAATATTTTATCTCTACTGCTAAAACCTGCAGTATATTCCTGTTTTAGAAAGGTTTTAAGATAAAACAATTGCTCTTGTGAATATATATATAAATACATATATAAAATGTCTGTCTTCCAGAGCTTTGGTAAAGTTTCTGTCTTGCTGTTGTTTGCCCATGGGGCAGTTGGGTGAATGTCTCTGAAGGTGTAATCAGAGGATGGAGTGACAGGATGGAATTTAATGGATGTGGTAGAATTTTCCACAGTGTATCTCATTCCCACCCAGAGGCAGGAGTGAGACTAATGGTGGAGAAGAGATTAGTGAGTGAGGGCTGTCTTAGGAGAAAACCATTAAGTATCTAAAGAAATTTGTTTAGTTCAAGTCTGGAGACAGTGCTTGCTGTCATACTCCCTTAAAGCTTCTCCTATTTTATGATGTTGAGTGCTCTCAGCTCCTGTTGGAATCAGAAAATAAAGAAACCAAGGAAAAGAAGACCTACAGAGGTACAAATTTCTCAGTTGCTTATAATGTCCTTCATCTGAGGCAGCTAATCTGCTTGACAAAATGGTCTTTTCTTTTGAGGATTTCTGATTGAACACATGTTGTTTAGCATACTGCATTCCAGGATTGACTTGGAAACACAGTTGGCTTAATTTTTTACCAGCTGTTTTCCTGCTGGAGATCTAGTTCCACACTCTCCCTTTGTTTCCCATAGCTCATGACAGTAATTTCAAGCTGTTGTTCCCTACCTTAGACAATTCAACACACTCATTAATCATAGAAGGAAAGACTGCTTCCTGAAAAAGTAAAAGCTTGGCCCCAGAAATTGCAAAACCCACACATTTTTGAATATCAGCTATACAGCTGAGCAATAAAATATCCTTCCAACTGCTGGGATAGATTTCTATGTAAAATGTCTACAGAATGTAGCTCAAGTCAATTAGCCATTTCCAGCAAACTTCCAGTGGAAGTTCTGCCAGACTTCTGTGAAAAAGACCAATTTATTAAACTCCTGAACAAGCTGAGATTATGCAGATTTGTATAGTTTTATGGAGAACTGTTCTATTGTCTTCAAACTTCTGTCCCTTGGATTAAGATTCTATGAAAAGTCAGATGCCTCAGACTTCTTTGAATCCCTTGAGAGTCTGTCTGATGCAGTGAGTGCAGGGGTGAAGGTTCATTTTAGCAGCTGTAGAATCAGGCCCAAAATGTCAGGATGACACATGCACTGTTAAGCTTTTTGAGCAAGCAGCAGCCTTTACCAAAGGAGACTCACCTACAGTTTAAAGGTAAAGTTAGGAAACACTTATCTAAATTTGTTTCAAGTAGTTGCACACTGAATCTGTCCTTTAAATAGGGCACTGTTTTGCAGCAGCAACCCCACCCCAAAAACCACCACCACTCTTACCCAGTAAAAGCCTCAAATGCTCCAAGATTCTTTGATTGTTCTGTAAGAGATTGGTGAGGGAGAACCACAGGCCTTACTCACTTACCTGGTATTATCAGCACCTATGGCATTGGACATAATGCTGTCAGCCAAAATGGTAGTTTATTTCTTTTTTTTAAAGGAGGAAGAGATGCCATGAGGGATGTTGAGGAATCATCAGAAGTCCATGGGACTAAGCCTAAGTATTTTTTGACTGTGGCTGGTACCCATCACCCAAAAGTCAAATCCAGACCTCGTATGGCAGGAACCAGGAACAGGCTCTAATTTTATTATTTCCTTTAGTGAGAATGGGAGTTGGGAAGTTGGCCTTTTCTTAAGCCAGAAAGAGGCAACACAGATATTGCTTTCATGCAGCTTCCTTCCTGTAATTTGCTTGGATTTGAGAAAGAGAAGGATAGAATGGTTTTAAGGCTGAGATAGATGTTTGAATAGTGAAAACCTGAAGTCTAAAACATTCAGTTGGCAATTTTATCCCTAAATATGCATTTGTACATGCTTGCTATTCCTGTGTGGTCTGTATGCAGACTGAGATCTGGGCTTAGGTTTATTTGCTGTTTTTCTTTTAAAAGCCATATTTCCTCATTACAGAAAATACTGCACAAAATGGAGGGAAATGGGATTTTTCCGAGCTATGATTTTTCACAGTGACAGGAGTACAAATGCAGCTTGAGAGCTATAAAGAATAATCAGGTGCCAAAAATAGCTGGTGGATAATGAGCTTTTATTTCAGGCGGTGGGCACGCAGCCCATCTGTGCGTGCCATGTGGACGGGCCGCTCTGCAGCCGTGCTCCCCTCACCCTGGATTCCTCCAGGATCCTGGCCCCATGTCCACCCCCTCACGAGGGCACCCAGCGCCGGCTCCTGCCCCACACCGCCCCTCCAGACACCCCATGGCTTCTTCCTCGGGCATTTCTGAGGGAAAAGGGCCACGAGTGCGGCATCTTCCCCAGGGGATTTCCCTCCCCACGCAGAGTTACCCCCTTTGCCTCCCCGGCGTGCTGTGAGGGGCCGGATGGGGAGCCCGTTCCCCGCTGCTCCCCACACTCACACAGCTGCAGGCGCCTCCTGACCCAAAGGGCCACGGAGCTCCCACAGCGGAGCGGGCGCCATCCCGCTGGCTGTGAGGGGAAGCGCGGCCGCGGCCATGGCGGCCCCTCTGTGGGGAGGGAGGGAGGCGGCACAAGGCCGAGGCTCTGCCGATGCAAGATGGTACCCTGAGATTCCCTCTGCAAGGAGCACCATGATCCCGATGTGCCCAGCCTCAGGTGGCAGGAGGGGTGAGCTCCAGGGGGCCCTTGTGGGGCGGAGGGAGGATGAGGGACGGAGCCAAGGCATCTGTGGGGTGGTGAGGAGCGTCCTGCCCTGCCTCGAGCGCCTCACACTCTGCTGTGGTGTCCGGAGTCTAAGTGTTCTGTTTAATGAAAAAGAAGTGCTTTACGGACTATATAGATACTCTTCTGAGCGAAAATTATTTTAAAACTAGTATTTTTTTAAGAAAAGATGGGACAAGACTATTTACAAGAGCATGCAGTGACAGGACGAGGTGGAACGTGTTCTAATTGAAACAGAGTAGGTTTATATTAGATATTAGGGAAAAATTCTTTATTGTGAGGATGGTGAGGCCCTGGCACGTGTTGCTCAGAGAAACTATGGCTGCCCCATCCTTAGCGGGGTTCAAGGTGAATTGGATGGGGCTTGGAGCAACGTGGTCTAGTGGAACGTGTCCCTGCCCATGGCAGGGGATTTGAACTAGTTGATCTTCAAGGTCCCCTACAATCCAAAGATTCTGTGATTCTATGAAAAAAAGAAAAACTCCCAAAGAAAAACTATGGATGAAATTTGAAGGGTGATGTGGTGGTGGCAGAGTGAGGCTGGCAATGCCTCCCTTGGGGGAGCAGTGACAGCTCCTGAGGAACTGACTGCAGATTTGGCAGCGGGACAGGGTCTCTGGCAGAGGGACAGTGTCCCCAGCAGTGGGACAGTGTCTCCAGTAGAGGCACAGTGTCCCCAGCAGCGAGACGGGGTCCCCGTGGAGCTGCTCCCCAGGGCTGGCAGCTGCTGCCCTCGCCGGGGGCTCTGGGCCACGCAGCCCTGCCGGGGTGAAGAGCTGCTGCATCTGCTCTGCAGAAGAATCTCTGCTTTTGGGACTTGGAGATTATTTATCTTAGCTCTCATAAATCCTTCAGGACTACATTAAAAGGGCAGTTGGGGAAAGGATCCTCCAGCTCCTGCAGGTGCTGAAGGGCTGGGCTGGCAGGGTTGCTCCTGAGGCATCTATGGCCAAACGCCCTCCTCCTCTCCTGCTGCTGTGCGAGACAGACACGACTTTTCCTGAGCAGGCGTTTGGTGCATGCAGGAGTGAGGCTGGGGAGCTGCATCAGCAGTGTGGATGAGAATGGGAAGTATCCTCCTTCCTGGGATCCCACTGCCATTTCTTCTGCTCCCCAGTGGTCCGTGCAGAGCAGGGAGGTGGGAGGGGTCTGATCAAAACCTCATGATTGTTCTCTCTTGAAAGTGTTTCCTGGTGCTAAATAAGAGTTTAATTTATGATGCCCCTTCTCACCATGCTGACTGAGCCCACTAACATTTTTGCAAATTTTGCTTGAAAAAACCTAAGCAAATTTATTCTTATTTAACAAGAATAAAGATATATTTTACAAATAGAATTTTTGATAGGAAGCAGTCTCTTGGGAAGCTTCTATGATATAGCCCAATATCCTGTTAATTGATTTCATTCTACACTGTAATGTTGGTGAGTCTTGATTCCTGGGTTTGGGTGTAGGTATCCTAGAAACTTAAACATATATGGAATCTTACATAATATAGGCTTAGTTTTTTTTTTTAATATTTCCTTGTTTAATAGATTAATCTATGGAGGTCATTGTAATTGGTTTATTATTCTAATACAAGAACAGTGAGTAAATTCCCTAAAGAGCTCCATTGCCTTTAGTGAGGAAAATATTGGTGTGCCCTGTAGCTGTGATTCATGCTGCTATTGTGGAGTCAGCCAGCTGTGAGATATATGTGCAGGCCATGGATGATAAATGTGTTCTAATAATCCAGTATACAAAGTATTTCCATAAAAATTCTTCAGTAGTATCCAAGGACATTAAAAAGTCCATCAAGAAAGTCCTTCTTTAAATGATTTTGAATCAGGCAAAGAGTGTTTTAATGCACAGTTGTACAGGCTACTCAAATTTTCCCCATGATAGTTCCAGAATCTGTTTTTAGCATATGATTATGATACTGCAGAGAACGTTGCTTCTGATAAAAAATTGTATTGATTTTCAGTATTTTCAACTCCAGTTGCATACAAGAAATTAATGAGACTCATTTTGTTACTTGGGATAGAAATGTGTGTTTGTTGACAGTCATCACAGGAATTAGCTTTAAAAAAGATCTTAAGATCCATCTTTCATGCAGGATTAAAATTCACTTTGATTACTTACATAACACTGTAGATGTCTCCCCTTCTTTCTGGTGGACCTCTGGTTTGGGCCTATTTATTGCAAATGCAGCAGTGGAATAAACTGAAAGCTGAAAACTCCCCTGATGTGCTGAGGAGTTGAGTTGCTGTACCCTGAGGCAGCCCCACCACCCACAGCTGGAATGATCTGGCACTGGAGGACTCACTTTGGGGGTTCCTGCTCTCTGCAAAGCAGCTGGGAGGAACCAAAGGGAATCTCCCAGT